AAAACAAAACAACCCACCACCATGTATATATACTGCCAAAACGAGCACTCCACCACCATGTATAACCCTTATTTCTTTTTTCTCTCACTTCATACAGCCTATCCATCAACAATATCTCTTGAATCTTTGCTTTTCTATCCTGGGTCACTACTGACTACTCCAATGACCTCAAAATTATAGTTTTTATTCTTACCCACTATAATTTTTTCATTTAGCAGCAAGAGTGATCTAAAATACAAATCAAGGGCTGGTGAGATAGCTCAGGAGACTAAGTGCCTGCTTAGGCAAGCACAAGGGCAGAGCAGGGACCCCGGCTCACCCCTGAACCAGCAACCAAGTCCACATGTGGTTTTGTACACCTGTAATACCAGCACTGGAGAGGCTGAGACAGGTGAGACCCTGTACCAAATAAAATATAAAATAAAAATTCTTAAAAAAAAAAAAAGAGGCTGCTCTTGTCAACTCTATTTAAGAAACCAATTTCCTACTACTCATGAGGCAGGAGATCAGGGTGTGGTAGGCTCTGGCATGAACTGTTAACTGTAAAGTTCCAGGACACACTCACAGAACAGTTCCAAAAGCCCTGCATGTGGACTTGTCACATAAATTTGAGCAGTCTTGGATAGGATGGCTTAGATCTGAGGTGAGCCTGAGGAGTGGGAGATACAAAATGCATAGTCACACTTGCCACTACTCTGTTCTCTCACAGTAGTCTACTCTCATGCTAGAGGGTATACTCCTTTTCCTACTTTTACTTGGCCCAAACTTGGTCTGAGGGTATGTTTCATTTCCTACCTAAAATAAACATAAAATTCCTCTCTACCTTTTGTGCTTACTTTGTCAAACTCTTTGTTAAGACAAGAAGACCTTAGAAACCACCTCTGGAAGGAGACTCCAATACTCCAAAATTTGGTAACACTCACACAATTGTTATCATCTGTTATAGTTTCTTTATAGCATGCTTATCACAGACAGAAATAATTTTACTTATCTATTTATTGTCTATTTTCCATTCCATGAATATAAGCTCAGGACCAGAAGCTCAGCCCCTAGAATAGTTTCTGTCATACTATTTTCTCAGTACACTGAATAATCAATATTTTTGGATAATTTCTATCTAGAACATATAAAGAACTGAAAAACTCAGGCCTCCCAAATTCAAAGACTCAATCCAAACATGGGCATCTGAGATAAATAGAAATACAAATGGCAAGTAAATATATGAAAATATATGAAAAAATGTTCAACAACATTGGGCATTTGAGAAATGCAAAATAAAACAACACTGACATTTCATCTAACCCCACAAGGAACGGCCATCATCAAGAAATCGACCAATATGGAGCCAGGGAGATGGCTCAGTGGAATAAGCGCCTCCCTGGCAAACACAAGGGCCTGAGTTCAATCCCTGGTTCTGCAAAAAAAAAAAAAAAAAAAAAGAAATTGACCAATAACAAATGCTGTAGGGGATGTGGGGGAAAAGGAACCCTTCTCCACTGTTGGCGGGAGTGTAGACTGGTGCAACCACTGTGGAAATCAGTGTGGAGAGTCCAAAAAAAACCGTAGGATTAGAGGTCCCATTTGACCTAGCAATTCCCCTTATGGGTATTTCCCCTGAAGAATTAAAAACATCATACTCCAGTGCACCCATGTGTATAGCAACACATTTGGAATAGCTAAATATTGGAAACAATCCAAATGCCTATCAACTGAGGAATGGATAAAAAAGGTGTGGTATTTTTATACGATAGAATACTACTCAGGTATAAAGAAGGATAAATTTGAGGCTTTTATAGGTAAATGGATGCAACTTGAGATATACTCATTAGTTAAATAAATCATACTCATGTGATTATCACATTGTCTCCCTAGTATAAAAAACTGAAAGGATAAATAAGGTAAAAATTGTGAAAGGGGAAGAAACTGCTCAAAAGGAAAGAATAAGAAAGATGGGGACAAGGAGATAAGAAGGGAAAAGAAAAAATATATATATGTATATGTATATACAATACAGCTAAGATAAATATACTACAAACTTCTATTCACTAAAAGTTTGTGGTTATATTGTTTGATTAATCTTTCATCCCTATATTTTATAATCTGAGCAACTACTGTGCATACCCAACATTTTAACCATTATTAATCTATTATCTTGTTTTGACACTTTGTATCATTATTTTTATTGTTTTTTTCTCTTTAAAATAAAAAGTATTTTTGGGGAAACAATGCTTATAGTATCTGTTTTGTTCCTTTAAAAGCAACATTCACAATACATAAGATCTACCTCTAAAAAAAAAATCTATCTCAATATATTCTCACTTTCTTTGAGGAGTGAAATATAGTGAAAAGTAGGAACTTTTAGCAGTATACCAGAACAAACTGTCATATGCAGTTTATCACTAGTTGTAGCTCTTCCTACAGTACAGATGGAGGTACTTCAATGTGAAGAGAATCTTGCTTCTTATTATATTTTTCCAGATCGGCGTTTACTTTTTTCTAACTTAAAATTCATTACATTCTTTTTCAGGATTCTAGGCTATTATATAATTCCTTAAATGTCAATTTGATGAAATTTGGCCTTTAATGTTACATCTTTCTCTCTCCCTTGTACTATTACAAAACATCTTAAATAGAAACAGACCTACTGTCAGGTGCCATGAGACAGTTTTTGAGATGGTGGCATAGGTCTCCATTTTATCCTCCAAAGAAATAATTACTGAGTAGGACTTATTACTTCTTTGCTTCCATTTCCCACTATAAGAATACTCAGCAAGTCAGTGACCTGTAAAGCTTTATGCCAGAGAAGACAGACATATCCAACCTTGGATGGGGGGGAATCAAAGGGGACAGAAGACCATCTGGGCAGCAATACAAGCCAGGCCTTCACTGAAATACAATTTAATAATTGTGTTCTGAATTTCTGTTTAATCCACAGAAGAGGCCTTTGTCCATTATATTACTCAATGTCCTTTATGTAAATAACCAGGCAATATATACTTCGTAGAATTTAGTACAAGAAACAGAACTCAATTTAAAATCAAACTTGGAATTTTTCTTTTTATCAAACAACACAAACCAGATGACGTCATGGACTTTTACAGTAAGAAGAGTGGTTAGAAATCAACTAGCCCAGCATTTTCTAAAGTGCATTTTAGGTGTAACAAAGAAAAAGTTTTATAAGCAAACAAGTTTCTTTTTTGTAACTATTTTATTGAGATATAATTCACATACAATGAAATTCATTAAAGTGTATAATTCAGTCATTTCTAGTATATCCAGAGTTTTCCAACTGTTACCACTGCTATTTTGGCACATTTTCATGTTCTAAAGAAACCCTATCCTATTTAGCAGCCATTCTCTTTTCCCTTGGCCAACAAGTATCTTTCCTTTCCATAGGAAACTTTCAGCCCTTTATTGTGAATCTAATATGCTTCATGAATTTAAAAATGGGATACAATGTGTCATGTTTCCCAAAGACATTTAATAGCTAACATTTCAGTGCTTATTGTAAATGCTGTATATTATTTCAATTCTTATAGTAAAATCTAGGCGATATCATATATAATACAGATATTAAGAACAAATTAAATAAATAATTCACTCAAGTGCTCTTTTTTTTTTTTTTTGGCAGCACTGGGGATTGAACTCAGGCCCTTGTGCTTGCCAGTGAAGTGCTTATTCCACGGAGCTATCTCCCTGGCCCCTCAAGTGCTCTTAACTATAGCAGTCTACAGCCATGTCTTTCCCACTGAAGGGATGAGTTGTGTGATAAGAATGCACAACTAGTACTTTATGGGCCATATCTTTTAAGAGCTCTATTTGAATCTCTTAGTAAGAAAAATGGACCCCAGAAAGGTAAGCTGATTTAGTCAATAACACACAGCATTTCCTTTGTATTTGTGTGTGTGTGTGTGTGTGTGTGTGTGTGTTGTGTAACCTAGGGCCTAGCATATACTAGGCAAGTGCTCTACCACTAAGCTACATTCCCAGCCCTTATTGCTTTGATTTCTGAGAGCTAGCTTACTGATGAATTTCCAAACCCAATTACAGTAACTACTGAATTCCAGATTCCTGACTTACTTCTCTCCCTTCTTTCTTTTAAATTTTTTTATCTTCATTCTTAACATTGTAGGCTACCTTAGAACGTTACCAGGATCGACTCTGTTTTTTTCTAGACCTATCTCCCAGTGAGCAGCGCACTTCACTTTTGCTGCACAAATCCCAGTCATCTTGGGATGGTGAGCAGAGCTACAAGGCATCACTCAATCTTGCCCCCACCCTAGGTGGCTGCCATCTCTCGCCCTCTGTGTACCCGCAGCTCTGCATCTCCCCTGGACATTTCTGCTTGAGTTCAAGCGTCAGTCCTATCCCAACTCCTAGCCTGAGCTCTCCAAACGGCAAGAGTTGGCCTTGAATCCAAAAGCCCAGCAAACAGTCATCAGCGCAAACAGTTTCCTACCCATTCTTGGCTTTATTCCTAAATCTAGGACAAGAGCACCGCTCTCCAGCCTGCCGGCTCCAGAGGGAGCAGGGCTAGCGGATCCTTACGACTCGCGCCCCGACCTGTCAGTCACACGGGACCCCGCCGGCAGTGTGCCGGCTGAACCCAGTGGGGGTCAGGCAACAAGTAACAGTAACCGGCCAGAGCGGTGGTGACCCTCGCGACGACGCCCGGCGCAGGCATTCGGGCCGCACGCCAGGGGGCGAGGGCTGAGGAGGGGGTCCACGTCTGGTAGGTGACAGAGCAAGGCCTCCAACCTGGGTCGCTGCCACCAGAGGCTCAGCAGACTTTGGGGGGCAGGGACTAGAGCGGGGAGGCGCCCTCACTGGCTCCGCCTCGGCACCCCTCCCCCCGGGGGCCCAGACCCTCGGACCCAGGGTCACCGGGCGAGGGCCAGGTCTGGGGTCGCGCGCACCCCCGCCCCCTGCCCCGCGCCATCTTGGAGCGCTGAGGCGGCCACTCCGGACCGGCCCGAACCGCCGCTCCAGAGGTTACTCACCCGCACTGCCCGGAGCCAGGCCCCCGGCTACCTGCACGACCCCAGTCACGGCCAGAAGCACCAGCGCGCCTCTCAGGGAGGCCCGGACGGTCACCATGTCCGGGCCGGGCGGGTCCGGAGCCGCGGGATGCTCGGACCCAGCTTGGCCGCCGCAGCCCCTCGCGCTAGGCCCCGCCCCTTGCGCCCCAGGCCTGTAGTGATTGGCTGCGGCTCGCCCAGGCCCCGCCCCGGCCGCACAAAGTTTCCAAAACCTCCAGGGGGGCAGCGTCGCGCCCCGGACCCCGGCCTTTTGTTTTGGCCCAGCTGTGTGCTGGCTTCAAGGCAGCGTTCTCCGAGACGCTAGACAGCCTCTGGGCTGTCAGAGCTGGGGAGTCCCTGAGAATGCCTCTGCCCCTCCTGAGGTCTACATGTGGGACACTGAGGATCACAGAGGGGGCTGACCTGCCAAGACCACTCTGAAGTTCGGCTGAGACCCAAAGGCAAAGGCAAAGCTGAACCACAGGGGCGTTTCCCCTTCTCTCCCCTCAGTGATAGTTCAGTAAGTATTCTTTCTGCCTGAGTGCTGTCTTGAACCCAAAGAGGTGGGTTCTAGAGCCTGGCCTTCCCCAAAAGCTGAAGGTCTCTGCCTTGGGAGAAGAGAGGGTCCACTTTGCAGTCGAAAGTCATTCATCATGTAGGTATTTTTCTCTCAATATCCCCACCCCCACCCTCACCCCAACAAATAACACGTCCATTTTGGCATTACCTTGTTGTTCAGTGATAAAGCCTGAAGCTTATTTCTGGTTTCCTCTGTTTAGACCACTAAAAGCAGCCAGCTTCCCCATGGGACGGAGAGCAGCGATATAATGCAGTGGAAAGTGCAGGGGCTTAACATACTCAAATCCAAATTGCCTCTCCCTAACTACGTGGCTGTGGGCAGACATTTAAGTCTCTGTTCTTTCCTTCTTTTTATGTTGGCTTTCTTGAGACAATTCAAGAACGTACTGCACTTAAAATGTCCAACATGACACTTGACAGCATGAATAAAGTCGCCCCTCTCAAGAAATTTTCCTTCCACAGGACTCACTGACTGGACTCACTTCCCACCTTGCTCCCCCTCCTCCTCAAGAAAGAAAGTCATAAATCTAGTCTGTGCCTGATGGCAACAATATGTATGGGGCTTACCTGGAAGGTGGCTGGTCCAAACTAAAATGCAAGAAATCCCTCCAAGACAGTATAAAAATAGGAATGCAAAATATATTAAAACTAATTCATCTGTTTCATTTTACCTTTTTTTTTTAAAGCCTGTATTTTTAGAACAGGTTTAGGTTCACAGCAAATTGTGTAGGGGATAGACAAGTGATATACTCCCTGCTGCCATTTACATATTCCCCCTACCCTATGATCCACCCCTCACATCAGAGTGACCCAAGTTGACAATCGATGATCCTACATGGACACACTGTCAAAGTCCAAAGTCCGTATCTTACACATGATGTACTCTTAGTATTGTACACTTTGTGGGCTTTGACAAATGTATGATAAAGTGTATCTATTGTTATTCCTTTTAACTTCTTAGAATGTGGTGGCTATTAGAAAACTTAAAATTTTGCTAGGCATCGTGGCACATACCTATAATCCCAGTCAGGAGGCTAAGTCAGGAAATTCACACAGGGTTTGAGACTAGCCTGGGTATACATAATAAGTTCAAGGCCAGTCTGAGCTACATAGCAAGACCCTGTAACCAAAACAAAACAACACAACAAAAACAAAGCAAAACTAACCTTAAATTTCATATATGGTTTATTTTAGGAGTTCATATTATATTTCTATCCTAATGTTGGTATGCTGATCTTTCATTTTAAAAAAAGATTAATATGTAGAGAAAAGTATAGAACTTCAATAATTTTGTCCTGAGCCAAAAGTCACCTGCTTTTATTTTATTATTTATTTATTTGTATTTTTTAGTAAGGGTCTACAGAGTCTACAGGGTCTCAGGGTCTCACTACCTAGATCAGACTCATAGTGATCCGCCTGTGTTCAGCCTCCCAAAGAGCTGAGATTACAGGTGTACGCCACCACACCCAGTCTCCATCGCATTCTCAGTGGCCCCCACGCGCGGGGCCGGCACAGCATGCTGGTGATCAAATCCCAGCCGCTGTGTCTGCCGAAGAAGGCGCTTAAATCTGCTGAACTATTTGGTCAGCCCACCTGCTTGTATTTTAGATAAGTAAAATTTAATAACTCATCAAATCTTTTGATCAGTAGTTATGTGATATATTTCACTCTATGAGTTTACTATTAATCTTTGTTGTTTTTACTTTTGTCTTTCTCTACTGAGTAACCCAGGATTTGTCCATTGATATGTAATCCCAAACTTCTTTTTTAAATTTTGGGACTAAATTGTCCAGGCTGAACTCAAACTTGGGATTTTCCTGCCTCAGCCTCCCATAGTGCAGGCACTATAGGAATGCACTTCCATTTTTGGTTCTGTGTCTTCATATTTAAAGTGAATTTTTAGTAGAAATCATACAATTGGGTAGCTGTTTTTTCTTTTTTTTTTAATCTAATTTGACAGTATCAATCTTTTAATGGGAGTATTTGGGCCATTTGGATATAAAATAATTATGATATGGTTAAGTTTAAATCTACTCTCTTGCTATTTGTTTTCTAGTTAAACTTGTTTTTCACCATTATTTGATTTTTTTTTTTTTCAGAACCAGGGATTGAACTCAGGCCCTTGCGCTTGCCAGGGAAGCGCTTATTCCACTGAGCCATCTCCCAGGCCCCAATGGTAGAAGGGGTTTTTTTTTTTTTGAGTCTCGAAATGCCTTTAGGGCATTTCTGGTTTGCAGTGACTGTCTGGGTTCGAACCACAGAAGCTTGAGCTTGAGGGCTTTGTTTAAGCAGGCACTTAAACAACTGAGCTACTGGGCAGGCCCCCTGTTTTTCACCATTATTTCACTTCTTTTCCTATACTTTTTTTTTTTTTTTGGAATAATAAAGTGTTACTTTTGTGATCTCATTTTGCCTCTGCTATTAGCTTATCGGCACACCTTATTTTTCTGTTGATCAAGGTTTATACAATACATTTTATCACATTACAATATACCTTCAGATAATCTCACTTCATGTAAAATGTTAAGAACATAGCAATAGTACTGCAAACTTCCATTTCCCTTCCCATCGCTGGCACCATTTGCCTTCAAAATACATATATTAGAGGGGCCTGCCCTTAACTCAGTAGTTTAAGTGCCTGCTCATGCAAAGGCAGTCAGGAGCAGGATACCGCAATTCAATCCCCAACAAGCCCTGCCCTTCCGGCAGACTGAGACACACACACACACACACACACACACACACACACACACACACAATATATATATATATATATATATATATATATAAATTATCTTTAAAAAGGAATATAAAAGGAGAACTAAGGTTGTTTTGAGAAAAATTTGCCCACATATTAACCATTTCAGATGTTCTTCATTTGGGTAGATATAGATTTTTCCTTATTATTATTTTCTGCTGTCCATACCTTTAAACTCTTTTGCTTTTGAGAGCATAACAGTGGGTCCCACAAATACATCCCTTATTTTCTGCTGTAAATTTTTACTTAACATAATAGTAGCCACTGTGCATCTCAGTATCTTTCCCTGAGGGATACAGGAAACAATCTTTGGGGTTTTTTTTTAACTCAGCACAATGAAAGGCAAGGAAGGTGTGTGCAAAATTTTCAAACCAGGATTTATACTCACATGATGTGCATGGAACAGTTTTTGTGTATGTTTATCTGAGCATCACAGAGGGTATAATATACCTATACAACTATAGGATTTATTCTTTAAAATGTATTCTTTTGATTTTTCTAGTAGTATACCCCAGTTCAGTACAATGCCACATGGAAAACTAGATTTGCAAGTTTTGGAGGAAGTCCAAAGTGAGTGATCAGTTTACTCATGAATGGATAATGATGGTTCATTATGCTAAGATACATATTTGCATTACAGAAGAGTGGTGTGGATATATGATGATGATGATGATGATGATGATGATGATGATGATGATGACTTTGACACTGGCCACATAAACCAAACTTCCAGTAACAGTGAAATGGAGCAAGAACTGACTGACACAGATATAGGGAATCCAGATCTCCTTGATTCAGATGACAAAGAAATGAGTACTGGTCAAAATTCACACAACCAGGGCTGGCCTGATAGCTCAGTAGACTAAAGCGACTGCTTAGGCAGAGCAAAGCAGCCAGAGTTTGATCCCCAATGTGCCGTGCCAGCCCCATCCATGGGACACACTGAGAAGGCGGTGGAGACTGGGTGTGGTGGTGTGCGCCTGTAATCCCAGCACTTGGGAGGCTGAAAACAGGAGAATCAGTACGAGTCTGATCTATATACTGAGACCCTGTAGACCATGTAGACCCTGTCCTAAATACAGGGAAAAAATTCACACAACCAAATGGAACAATCCAGTGTTATTACTAGGTCAGAAAATATAGTGAGGTCTTGGCAAGGTTGAAACATATTGGACAGAATGCCAGCACTTGCCATTCCATGTTGGAAATTGTAACAGATGAAATGCTATGAAATATACAAAGAATGAGATATAAGTAAAAAGTTCTATATGCAACAACAATCATACTTAAAAATGTACTTATTTTGACACTTCACTGGCTGAACTGGAAGCATTCATAGGTCTCCTGTACTTAGCAGGAATTTCTCATGGAAATCGCAGAAATGTAAAAGACTTAGAGAAGAGCAGTAGGTCAAAATATGATATAAAAATGTATGCCCCTGTATATATGAACACTTATTATGTTTTCAATTTAAGGATTTATCCTGGAACTCAGTCATTGGATACTTATTTGTGCAGTAATAAACCAAGTGATGTTGTGAGCAGATTTGTTGTTCCCATCTTCCAAACTAATTGGAATGTGACATTCAATAATTGGTGTACCAGCTTCCAATTGCTATTATGTTTGCTGATAGAGCACAAGTTGACAAGTGCAGGAAATATACACAAGAACAAAGCAGAAATTCCAAATGAAATATTGCAACTTCAAACCAGGGAATTGTATAGTCCAATCCTGGATTTCAGAAAGTATTACATTGGTCTCAAATATGGCAAAACAAAACATCAGGATTGTTGATGTCAAT